ATGGTGGGGGCTGCATCATGGTATGGGTATGCTTGTCATCGCCAAGGACTAGGGAGTTTTTAATGATAAAAAGCAACGGAATAGAGCTAAGCACAGGCAAAATCCTAGAGGAAAACTTGGTTGTCTGCTTTCTAACAGACACTGGGAGGAAAATTCACCTTTCAGCAGGACAATAACCTAAAACACAAGGCCAAATATACATTGGCTTTGCTTAGCAAGACGACATTGAATGTTCCTGAGTGGCCTAGTTACAGTTTGGACTTAAATCGGCTTGGAAATCTATGGCAAGACTTGAAAATGGCTGTCTAGCAATGATTAACAACCAACTTGACGGAGCTTGAATAATGTTTTAAAGAATTTTTGCTAATATTGTACAATCCAGGTGTGCAAAGCTCTTAAAGACTTACCCAGAAAGGCTCACAGCTGTAATCACTGGCAAAGGTGATTCTAACATGTATTGACTCAGGGGTGTGAATATTTATGTAAATTAGATATTTATGTATTTCATTTTCAAGACATTTGCTAAAATTTAAATAAACTAACATTATGGGCTATTGTGTGTAGATGGGTGAGAAGAAAAATCGATTTAATCAATTTTGAATTCAGGCTGTAACACAACAAAATGTGGAATAAGTCAAGGGGTATGAATACTTTCTGAAGGCACTATATGTAAGAACATTCTTTCTCCTTCTCCAGGGTGAGTTTGAATTGTGAACAGATAGGCACGTGACTAACATAGTCCAGAGGAATCCGCACCACACTCCCACACAGGTGCATGAGGCAGGACAGATTCATGAATTCACAAATCTGCAAAAGGGAAAGACAAGATTGGAAACTATTTTGTTTGTCACTTAGTCTAGAGAAGCTTAGAAAACCTTTCCACAATGGAAATAATGCAAAAAAAGGTTGACAACTCAGTGGGATTCCCTCCTCTGCACATTTCATACTCAAGCTGTCGTCATGGTTACAAGTGAAGCACCTCTCAGTGTCATAGCCGTTGTTGAGCAGCAGACGCATCATCATCTCGTCCCGCAGGCAGTACTGCAGAGGCATGGCTCCCACTGTGTCACTGACCACTGTGAAGTAACACGTTTCTTCCTTCACAGACTTATCACCTCTTCCTAAATATTTGGCCACATTATTCATTTTGTGCATGGTTTCCTAGAAACAAGGAGTGGCTCAACTAACCCTTTGGCTCAATTTACCCCACTCTCCCCTACAGTTTACGTGAGATTTTGTGTTGTTGCAGTGCACCAATTGTACCCAGCAATAGTGAGGACTAATTTCTGCTGTTTGTGTTGTGTGGAGAAGCCCCATGCTCCAGCAGAGTCTTAATATTCTCCATCAGTACTTAATGTCCGACCAACCATTATGCTGCATGGGTGCCGTCCTGACTGGCAAATGTCTATTGACATCAGATTGATATAGAGCCAGACAGAGGAGCGGCTCAAATCTGGATGGCATTCAGGCTATCCAGGCAACCAAGTAGAATAGTCATTTTAAAGTATGGAACAAACTGCAGTGCTTTGTTGACATGTCAAATGGCACAAACCAACAAGAAATAACAAAAGTATAGTAACTTGTTGGTACTACAAAGAGTTTTTGTACTTACTGCATTTAAATCAATTGGAGCTACCTAGTGCCAGTGTGTAACCATGAGACAATTATTATGAAGTGCAATTTCAAGATAAATACCAAGAAAATATACTGAAAAATATAAACGCAACATGCAACACTTTCAAAGATTTTACTGAGTTACAGTTCATTTAAGGAAATCAGTCAATTGAAATAAAATCATTAAGCCCTAATCTATGGATTTCACATGACTGAGAATACAGATATGCGTCTGTTGGTCACAGATACCTTAAAAATAAAGTTAGGGGTGTGGATCAGAAAGTCAGTATCTGGTGTGACCACCATTTGCCTCATGCAGGGCGACACATCTCCTTCGCATATAGTTGATCAGGCTGTTGATTGTGGCCTGTGGAATGTTGTCCCACTCCTCTTCAATGGCTGTGCGAAGTTGCTGGATATTGGAACACGCTGTCATACACGTCAATCCAGAACATCCCAAACATGCTCAATGAGTGACATGTCTGGTGAGTATGCAGGCCATGGAAGAACTGGGACATGTTCCGCTTTCAGGAATTGTGTACAGATCCTTGTGACATGGGGCCGTGCATTATTATGCTGAAACTTGAGGTGACGACGGCGGATGAATGGCACGACAATGGGCCTCAGGATCTCATCATGTTATCTCTGTGCATTCAAATTGCCATCGATAAAATTAAATTGTGTTCGTTGTCCATAGCTAATGCCTGCCCATAACATAACCCCACCGCCATCATGGGGCACTCTGTTCACAACGTTGACATCAGCAAACCTCTCACCCACATGACACCATACACGTGGTCTGCGGTTGTGAGACCGGTTGGACGTACTGCCAAATTCTCTAAAATGATGTTGGAGGCGTGTTATTCTCAGGCAACAGCTTTGGTGGACAATTGCACGCTCTTTCAAAACTTGAGACATCTGGAGCATTGTGTTGTGTGACAAAACTGCACATTTTAGAGTGGCCTTTTATTGTCCCCAGCACAAGGTGCACCTGTGTAATGGTCGTGCTGTTTAATCAGCTTCTTGATATGTCACACCTGTCAGGTGGATGGATTATCTTGGCAATGGAGAAATGCTCACTAACAGGGATGTAAACAAATTTGTGCACAACATTTTTGAGAAATAAGCTTTTTGTGCGTATGGAACATTTCTTGGATCTTTTATTTCAGCTCATGAAACATGGGACCAACACTTTACATGCTGCGTTTATATTTTTGTTCAGTGTAGCAGACTGTAAAATTAAGCATAACCCAGAAGTATGGATATAACTTACCGTGCAGAACAGTTTCCAACACTCCTGGTATAGGCTGTGCTGCAGCTCTATGGAGAGGTAGCCGTCCTCTGCTGTCCACTTCTCTGAAGGCAGACAAGTAGCACAGCATCTTCCTGAGCACAGACACCTGGCCTGGAGACCATGAATTAAGACTTACAAGTGATGCATCATGCTCCTCCAGGACTAATCAGGTCGAAATGGCATTAAATGTGTTCCGTATCTATTTTAAATCAATCAAATTGTCACTCACCTTTTCCCATCTATCGAGTACTGTCACTTTACCTTCCCCCCTCATCTCTCTGTGTGTTTAACAGGTTAGTAGGGTCTGGCAATTCCTGTGCAGCACTGATTCCCTTGTGACCGTGGCACTGGAAGAGCCCACAGCAGTACACATGCAAAACAACATGACTTTCACAAGAGGTATCACTCAATAATGTTGTTACTGTCTCTTGTGAGAAGAAGTAGAATGGCAATAACATTGTTAGAAATCTACCAACATCTGAACTACAGGTATGAGAAAAACAAATTGTAAACATTTTAGTAAAAACTCAAATGCATGTTTTCCATACCTGGCTTGTAATTTTATAAAGGCATCTTGACAAGATTCTTGTATACTCAGTTGAATGAATTCACACGTCTTCAAACAAATTCATTGCTTTTAGAGAGAAAGACGTTCCAGTAGTTAATGACATGCAAGATACTGATGAAAAAGGGTTTGAAAAAGTTTATGAACTACTAACAAGTCTATGGTTTTGTCCATATATTCCATAAAACTCAAATACTTCTAAATAATTACCTCAAAACCAATTATTGTTGTTATTGTAATGCTCCTAGCATCATTTCTACCAAACAATTCTAGATCACATGTAAGACAAATGTATTCTCACCTGTAAAGCATGTGTGCGGTCACACTAACAAGTCACACACTAGCAGACCAGGGACAATGTTTTTATATTTAGGGGTGACCTGGTTTCATCACCACAAATTCTAGGAATGCAGCCATGCCCTACAACTCACATATCTGTCTATTCTTGTGATTGTTGTAACTAACAGTAAAAACAAAGCAGGTTATATGCGAGGACTTCAGACACCTGGCTGTCTATCATAAATATAGCACAGTTACATTATGTCATGGTGTGTTTTAAGCCTGCTCGTTGTTATGTTTGGTTTTAATCACACCATTCATGTCATCAGAGATGAAGCCCATCGACTCATGCAATGGATTATTCTCTTTTGTGGCGTGTGTGTGTGTGTGTGTTTGTGCAGACAAAAGGCCTCTGAAGTGCAGTATCTTATGAATTCCTATAAGCTCCCGTGTCTGTAACCACATAGCAGTGGCTACTTTGTTCTGAATTGTGGATTATCCCAGTAGTGCTGAGGCAGCCGGCCACCATTGAGCTGTTAGATTCCCATGGCTTTTGAGGGGCCATCATGTCGCATACTCCAGATCCGGATCACCCAATGGACCCCTTCAAGCTTTGCTACGGTATTCCATAATAACAAATACCTTAGCAGAGCTGTCATATCTTAGTCTGGCTAACACCTAACTCAGCTCTTCACGTGGGTCGCGTCATCCAGGCTAGTCATATCTGACCAGACCAGACCAAAGAGTCTTGTTGGAATTTGAAGTGTAGGCCTAAATCACACTCTGGAATATAATTTGCGACCATCTTGGTTGCATAGGCTCCAAAATATTCAGCTTCTACAGGTAGACAAATGAAGGAGCCTTGTATATTTTTCAAAATTACCTCCTATGTCAGGATTTTGCAACTCATTTACCAAATCACATCATGTTTTGTGTCGTATTCCCATTTTGATTGGACTGATCCCTGAACCCATAGGGGGCCATTTTGAAATATATAAATGCTTCCTTAATTTCTCTCTCTGTAAACTCTGATAAAGGCCATTCATTTATTTGGGTGCCAATTTTTTGGTCAACTTTATAAATGCTGGCTTGCCAAGATAAACATTGTGTAGTGCTGCCTGATAACTACCACACTAATACAATTATAATATCTACTGCTACCAATTATTTGAAATAAATTAAAGTTCAAAGATTTCACTGATGATTTCACAAGGGATTGGATTGTGTTACATTGTTCATAAAGTTGCAATGGTCCCCCACGTGGTATCCGGTAACTTTTGTAGATTAAACATTTCATGGTTACATTTCATTGGCTACATTTTAGCAGAGCTCACTTGGCAGGTACCATGGCAGCGAGCAACATTTGCTGCACAGACAGTAGGCTTCTTGCAGGCTACAGCCGAAAAGACACAGGAAAATTAATGGTAGCTTGCTTCTATCCAGCTTGCTTATCGCAATTTTGAGAGTAACTGGCAACAAATGATTTCATTCCAAATCCACTCACTTTTACTGACGTTTTAAAACAAAAAATGTTCCTACTGCTGTCAGAGGCTATAGCTAATTCTACAACCATGTCCTGATGAGCAAAATGTGCAAGAAGAGGAAAAAGCCCCATAATCCGAATTAGGTGAATCTCAGGTGAAAAGCAACGCCACAGAAGAACCGCCTCCAGATGTACAAAATAGCGATGCTGGGGAAAAGACCTCTCAATCATATTCTGTATTGGAAATGTTGTTTATCTTTTCTATTGCAGTGAAAATCATGCTGATGCCTGAGGGACACATGATAACAGTTGCCTTTGATATTGGGCTCACCATCAAGGAGTTGAAGTATCACTTTACAAATGAGCTGAAAGTGCCATCAGAAGTAATACAGATCTCTCTGAGCGACAAGCCTTTCAACTAACTGCTAATGCTTCTGAGGCCATGCCTTTCTTGGTCTATCTATTATGATCTATTTCTTTGTCCATCCAGGCAGGGAGGTAGAGAACCATGAGACCCTGATAGAGCCGGGAGTGCAGTCTCATGGCACCATCCAGTAGATTACCTCTTCTGACACTGACAACCACCCCATCCTCCTGTCAAGCCCCAGCAGGACTACAATATGCCTGTCGTCATCCCGTCCGAGTCCAGACAGGTCCTAGTCTTTCTCTAGCTCTTCCTCTCTCCCAGAGACAGAGACATTTCAGGATGTGGTGGTGGAGATTGAGAGGGCCACCCGTAGGAAGGCTTTCCTGGGAGTCTACAAACACAAGGCAACAGCGGCAGAGTACCACCATGCCGCCGTACAGACCATGGCCAAGAGGAAACCCCACAGGGTGGTGTAGACCTTCATCCGCGACACACAGGTGCACACACACACACACACATACACACACACAGTCTTTTTCAAACATAATTTGTTTTATGCGCCTGGAGCTGCAAAAGGTGTGCGAACAACCTTATTTTCCTCCCCCTCAGACAGTGACGAGCCAGTCCCAGCAGTGCACCAACAGCACATCCACCCAGATGACCAAGATCGGCTGCTACGTGTCCAACATGGAGGACAAGCTCATCTCCTCTTGCTCCTACGTCACCGTCACCCAGTACCACGACAAGGGACAGAGCTGTACATTCTCTGAACTATACACAGACAGACAGACAGACAGACAGACAGACAGACAGACAGACAGACAGACAGACAGACAGACAGACAGACAGACAGACAGACAGACAGACAGACAGACAGACAGACAGACAGACAGACAGACAGACAGACAGACAGACAGACAGACAGACAGACAGACAGACAGACAGACAGACAGACAGACAGACAGACAGACAGACAGACAGACAGACAGACAGACAGACAGACAGACAGACAGACAGACAGACAGACAGACAGACAGACAGACAGACAGACAGACAGACAGACAGACAGACAGACAGACAGACAGACAGACAGACAGACAGACAGACAGACAGACAGACAGACAGACAGACAGACAAGATAGATAGATAGATAGATAGATAGATAGATAGATAGATAGATAGATAGATAGATAGATAGATAGATAGATAGATAGATAGATAGATAGATAGATAGATAGATAGATAGATCTGCCTTTGTATCTCTGTGCTCACACCTTTATCCACCACCTATAGGTGATCACTCTGCAGACATACACGCGGCACTGGCAGGCCAAGCGGATGAAGGACCAGCCGAGGCAGGACGGGGAGCTGTGTCTGGCCTGGATGGAGAGAGAAGGGGGAGAAAGAGGATCAAGGCTGAGCACCACAGGAGGTTGAACCCTCAGAGCAGAGATGACTTCACCCTGATCTACAGCGCCCTGGAAACTAAGCAGGGACCTCCCTTTGCTGCCTGATCTATTTCTATTTGTGTGTGTGTGTGTTTAAATCCTATATGTGTTTGTAACAGAGTGGAGGAGAGAGGAGGTAGAGCACATCGATGCCACTCTAGATGGTGCTGAGAAGAAGCCTGCTATGTGTCCACTGCTGGTGTAGGAAACCCAGCTCATCGAACACCACCGCATTGCAGCTGGGGAGAGGAACTACGACAAGACGTGCAGGCCTTCCTTGACAAGCTCAGAAGTCCCCTCCCCCTATATTCTCTCCCACTGTTTTGGGATATACAGTGGGGGAAAAAAGTATTTGATCCCCTGCTGATTTTGTATGTTTGCCCACTGACAAAGAAATGATCGGTCTATAATTTTAATGGTAGGTTTATTTGAACAGTGAGAGACAAAATAACAACAAAAAAATCCAGAAAAATGCATGGCAAAAATTTTATAAATTGATTTGCATTTTAATGAGGGAAATAAGTATTTGACCCCCCTCTCAATCAGAAAGATTTCTGGCTCCCAGGTGTCTTTTATACAGGTAACGAGCTGAGATTAGGAGCACACTCTTAAAGGGAGTGCTCCTAATCTCAGCTTGTTACCTGTATAAAAGACACCTGTCCACAGAAGCAATCAATCAATCAGATTCCAAACTCCCCACCATGGCCAAGACCAAAGAGCTCTCCAAGGATGTCAGGGACAAGATTGTAGACCTACACAAGGCTGGAATGGGCTACAAGACCATCGCCAAGCAGCTTGGTGAGAAGGTGACAACATTTGGTGCGATTATTCGCAAATGGAAGAAACACAAAAGAACTGTCAATCTCCCTCGGCCTGGGGCTCCATGCAATATCTCACCTCGTGGAGTTGCAATGATCATGAAAACGGTGAGGAATCAGCCCAGAACTACACGGGAGGATCTTGTCAATGATCTCAAGGCAGCTGGGACCATAGTCACCAAGAAAACAATTGGTAACACACTACGCCGTCAAGGACTGAAATCCTGCAGCGCCCGCAAGGTCCCCCTGTTCAAGAAAGCACATATACAGGCCGTCTGAAGTTTGCCAATGAACATCTGAATGATTCAGAGGAGAACTGGGTGAAAGTGTTGTGGTCAGATGAGACCAAAATCGAGCTCTTTGGCATCAACTCAACTCGCCGTGTTTGTAGTAGGAGGAATGCTGCCTATGACCCCAAGAACACCATCCCCACCGTCAAACATGGAGGTGGAAACATTATGCTTTGGGGGTGTTTTTCTGCTAAGGGGACAAGACAACTTCACGGCATCAAAGGGACGATGGACGGGGCCATGTACCGTCAAATCTTGGGTGAGAACCTCCTTCCCTCAGCCAGGGCATTGAAAATCGGTCGTGGATGGGTATTCCAGCATGACAATGACCCAAAACTCACGGCCAAGGCAACAAAGGAGTGGCTCAAGAAGAAGCACATTAAGGTCCTGGAGTGGCCTAGCCAGTCTCCAGACCTTAATCCCATAGAAAATCTGTGGAGGGAGCTGAAGGTTTGATAGAGCCAAAAGTCAGCCTCGAAACCTTAATGACTTGGAGAAGATCTGCAAAGAGGAGTGGGACAAAATCCCTCCTGAGATGTCTGCAAACCTGGTGGCCAACTACAAGAAACGTCTGACCTCTGTGATTGCCAACAAGGGTTTTGGCACCAAGTACTAAGTCATGTTTTTCAGAGTGGTCAAATACTTATTTCCCTCATTAAAATGCAAATAAATTTATAACATTTTTGACATGCGTTTTTCTGGATTTTTGTTGTTGTTATTCTGTCTCTCACTGTTCAAATAAATCTACCATTAAAATTATAGACTGATCATGTCTTTTTCAGTGGGCAAACATACAAAATCAGCAGGGGATCAAATACTTTTTTCCCTCACTGTAGTGGTATCCCCTTAGATCTCTCATAGTGTTTCCCTTATCATTGTATAGGCAATGCAGGCACTTCTGCCTAGCTCTGTTGCCCCCCACCTAAAATAAATAGGCTTCTATTAGTTTAAATAAAAAAGCATGATTTGCCGATGTGTTGCCCCAAAGAGGTGGCGTGCATTTGATGGGAAGATGGACACCCATTACACCATCAGAGCCAAGGAGCTGAGAGACCTGCACGCCATCATCAACCTGCACTACCTAATCCAGGAGGAGAGACCTGTACGCCATCATCAACCTGCACTACCGCAACCAGGAGGAGAGACCTGCTCGCCATCATCAACCTGCACTACCTCATCCAGGAGGAGAGTCCTGTACGCCATCATCAACCTGCACTACCTCATCCAGGAGGAGAGTCCTGTACGCCATCATCAACCTGCACTACCTCATCCAGGAGGAGAGTCCTGTACGCCAGCTTCAACCTGCGCTACCGCAACCAGGAGGAGAGGCTGGATGCGCCGCTCATACTCAAACACACAGTTAAGGTGAGAACACTTACCCTCAGCCCATACTGACTGAAATATGTTTTAGATGTTTTTAGATATGTGAAATATACATACTGATTGATTGTGAATTGACAACTGCCCATTGTTTTTCCATTCATTAATCATAAAAATGCTTCATAGTCATGATGCTTTTGTGTGATTGGACAGGAGTGTGACTGTAAGCTAACCCAGGACATTGTGGAGTTGATTGACAGGGAGGCGGACCTCCTGATGAGGGGGGGTGAAGGAGACCAATCTTCTGGATGGGCTAAGGAAGAGAATCTCCACCCTCTTCCTCCATTATGTCAAAACCCCCACCTTTAACCCTGAGGTGGCCAAACTGCTTAAGGTATAGTATATCTCTGAGACTGTATAGTGTTTAGGTGTTATATGATGGATTTTATTGTCAATTAAATTCAACATTATTTAACCTTCACTTAAAGGTGCACTATTCAGAAATCGCTCCGCCATTTCCTGGTTGCTAAAATTTGAATAGTTCGCCTAATTTCAGTTTATGTGACAAAACAAGCAATGTATAGTGTAGAGAATACTTGTACCGCTATGAAATATATTTTCCATAACCAAAAATATTGTATTTTCAGCTGTTTAAAGCTGGTGTACGAAACCGAAAGTAAAAGATGCAAAAACTCAACTTAAGAACAGGAAGCATAGAAATAGCGCTTCTTAGACTTGCTTTCAATGAGAATGATGGATCGATAACTCACATTTCTATGTGAATTTGGTCGGGTCGCAAAAAGAGTTACGTATTGCAGCTTTAAGCCAATTAAAAAACGTTGTTATGTAAGAAAACAACTTGTGAGTGTGTCTGAGTCTGACCCTCGTCCCCCTCGCCCCTCCCCCTTTCTACTCCTTTAGGTCCTCCAGGATCCAGCCTAGCTACGGAAAAACATCTACCTGCTGTCTCCGACTTTGCCCTGATGACCATTGCTCACCTGGTGGGCCGGTGTAGTAGCTGATCAGAGCTGGAAAACAAGGCTCGCCGCCGTGAGGACTCCCACTACAAGATCATCCTCCGCAAGACTGAGGCCCAGATCAACAAGCAGGCCAAGATGACCTACCTGCTGCAGGTGTGCGCGTGTGTGTGTGTGAGTGTGTGTGTGTAACTGTGGTCGTGTGTATCTTACAGGACAAGGACCTGCGGTACCTGATAGATGTAGTGTGGGGGGCCCAGTCTGCCCTGAGTGCTTGGAGCAACATGCATGATCTGGTGATGGTGAGGTGGGACCGCCTGTGGGAGTGGCGCCCCTGGAACTGCATCCTGCTCATCAAGAACGAAGCTCACATCAAAGTGGAGAACATTGACAAGGTAAACACACACACACACACACACACACACACACACACAGGAACCAGTTATTTTGAAGGATTTTCTTTTGAGGGTTTAAAATACAGAACTGCCTAGTTTCAAAGTTCTTGAAATTTTCTGGATTGACTGACCTTCATGTCTTAAAGTAATGATGGACCTTCGTTTCTTTTTGCTTATTTGAGCTGTTCTTGCCATAATATGGACTTGGTATTTTACCAAATAGGGCTATCTTCTGTATTCCACCCCTACCTTTTCACAACACAACTGAGTGGCTCAAACCCATTAAGAAAGAAGGAAATAAATTCCACAAAGGAACTTTTAACAAGGCACACCTGTTAATTGAAATGCATTCCAGGTGACTACCTCATGAAGCTGCTTGAGAGAATGCCAAGAGTGTGCAAAGCTGTCATCAAGGCAAAGGGTGGCTATTCGAAGAATCTCAAATATAAAATATATTTTGATTTGTTTAACACTTTTTGGTTACTACATGATTCCATATGTGTTATTTCATAGTTTTGATGTCTTCACTATTATTCTACAATGTAGAAAATAGTAAAAATAAAGAAAAACCCTTGAATGAGTAGGTGTGTCCAAACTTTGGACTGGTACTGTATATATGGAGACTGTTTAGTGCCAAAAATAAGGGGTTAATTACATGTTTAAAAAAATTATATATATTTTCTGATCTTTCTCATAGACACTTCAGAACAAACTTCCTTCTGATATTTTTTTGGGACTATCTGTTGTTCCATGTAGTGAATATGTTATTCAATGCGTTTGTATGGGCTAATAGACCTAAAAAAACGACTTCAAGGGGTCTTAAAATTCAAAATCAAATAGCTAAATGATCCTTGGTCTGACCTTCTTAAAATAATTACATATAGCTTAGTAGAACCCCCCCACCCCCACACACTCCCCTGGCTTAGACTGATGGGTTAAGAAGATCCTTTAGGAAACCATAAGATCCCAAAAAGGATCCTTAAAGATCCTGGGTCAAGTTTTTTTTTAACCAGGAATTCAGAATTTTCAGAGTCCAATGTGATAGTGTACAATAATCACCTTACTGGACTGCTTCCTTTCATGTGTGATAAACTGATCTTCTGGTCTGATTAATGAATCCATAAATACACAAGTATATAAAAGAGTATTCACGCTACTAGCACTGACAGTGTTCCATGGGGTTGGGGTCAGGGCTCTGTGCAGGCCAGTCAAGTTCTATCACACTGATCTCGACAAACCATTTCTGTATGGACCTCGCTTTGTGCATGGGGGCATTATCATGCTGAAACAGGAAAGGCCCTTCCCCAAATTGTTGCCACAAAGTTGGAAGCACAGAATCGTCTAGAATGTCATTGTATGCTGTAGAGTTAAGATTTCCCTTCACTGGAACTAAGGGGCCTAGCCC